GGTTGAGTAGGGCTGAAAGTAGTCACATCAATTTCCTATTGCCACAAAATGATATAGGTCATGACAAACCACAAGCCAAGTTACTAGATCATTACTAAACTACCATCATATAAGGATAAGTTAGCAAGTTTGACCTTTTCAACCAAACTGCAAAATGTTCTTTTGATTAAAGCCTACAACAATCCCCTGAGATCTCTAGTGCTGAATGTTAGGGGTTTAACACAATACTGAGATCTTTGGCAGACAAATCTACCTTTACTCGTAAGCTTTTCAATTCACACACAATTGAAATCCTCTTGCTCCATAGAATTACCATTCTGTGCTTAGTTTTATTTTGAAAGCAGTTGCATTAGTTTCCAAGGTGAGAATTCATGACCAGGAAGCCAATTTCGTGGAAGAAAGTAAAGGCTTTATTCTTTCTGAGAAAATTAGCTATTTAAGGATAAATACTCTAATTTCTCCTTTTAACCTAAGTTTATTGGTAATTTCTGGCCACTGTCGTAAACCTTTCTGATTTCTCCATAAAATATTCCTCTTGCCTTTTCAGTACTTTCTTTTCCAGTCAAGAGCTCAGTACAGCTTTTATCATCCTAATTTTTTATACTGCCATACCCAGTATTTATTTCTAATACAGCATATAAAATTTATAAAGATTCATAATTCACTCTCTATATAATTCTAGCTTTAATATAAATCTAAATCATATACCATACAGTGCTATCTTGTTCATATTTGTGAATTTTTTGTTCACTTATTTATGGTTTCTGCTTTGGAAAACTATATTAAAGAACCAGAAAACAGATTTACTTCACTAGAAAGTACACAACCTTTTAATTATTTTCTCTACTATAGAAACAATATCAAAGTGAAAATTTATGTCTCCCTTGCTCAATCATCTATGTTATTCCAGCATTAATAATACTAGTTTTATGTAGTTATTGAAAAACATTTGGGAGTATTGGTTGATATGTAGATAAAATTGCATTATAGTTTTAACACATAAATTGCTTTCTTTTCTCATTTTCATTTATTTAAAATGCTTACATTTGAGGAAATTATTTAAATACTTTTGTACATTACTATATATTTTATGCATATATGTTCAGAGATTTTTATTACCTAACTTTTATAAATCATGCAACTCAAGAGTGTGTGAATTGGCAAAGATTGCATTTATTCTGTATAATTTAATATTGTATCTTTGATTAAGTTAGTTAATTTATTTCTCATTAGTTTGGTGGATATATGCCTCCATAGAAAATGAATAGGGAATCTTTTGCTAGTTTCTGCAATGTGAAAAAATGTATCCATGCATCTATGCAAAGTCTGCTCTTGGAAAATTGTCAAATGGAATCATCGTAAATTCAGAAAATTCTAATATTTTGGTTGCTCTCCTGAAAACATTAAAGAAAAAATGCTGCCAGTAAATATGATTTAAAACATATTGAAAGAACAGATTTCATATTTATTAAATAATGTGATTTAGCAAATCCTGTAACATACAGTTTATTAAATGATTGGTGAGTATACTGAATATTTATGTTAGGAAAATAAATGTTTCCAGTTATACATTTCTCTGGCATTCTCCCATTTACATTTTCCCAAGAATGAAATCATTTTGAGAATGTGATATTTAAATATGTTTTCCTTGGATATTCATTTGTCCTCTGTCACTTTCTCCACTTTTGTTCATGCGAAAAAGTTTGAGCTCTTTCTGAAATTTCAAAGTAAAATATGTAACATTTTAAAACATAAATGAAAGTATAACATTTGTTTAATTCAGTGAATAAACACATTTAGTATTATGCCATTTTCCCGTGTAGCATATTATCTTGAGTTGAAAAAGAATTAGTAAGAAAAATTGGATATTCTTGTCTTGAGAGTACTGTCATCTCCTTTTAGAGCCAGTAGGCACATATGAAGTTACAACTAAAAATATAATGTGTGATATCATAAACTTCACATGACTATCACATATTATTACTTTTTTCAGAGTTTAAATTGGACTGAGATTTCCTTTTCAATGTGAAGATGTTTTACATAGCCATAAGTGTTTGTTGGGAAGAAAAGTGGAAGTTTTTGGTGGCTAATTTTACATCCAATCCCTCCTTCCCTGCAGCTGAGCCTTTGTACTTGTTAAGCTTATCCTATCCCTTGAGTCCTGGTAATAAGGAATTTTAGAAACTAAGGGTTTTTGATGACCTTTATATAGGCTTATTTAACCATAGCCATTGATTTAATTATAGCCAATAAGATTTCAGGGCTATTTAAAGGATCTGGTAGAGGCCTCCTCCCCATGGTTTTTAAAAGGGTGATACAGGGGGCTGGGGGTTTAGCTCAGTGGCATAGGCACCTGCGTTGCAAGCAGGTAGTTATGGGTTCGATCCCAGGTACCGATAAAAAGGAAAAAGACAAAAAAAAAAAAAAAAAAAAAAAAAGGTGATATAAGGAATGGGTAATTCATTTTGCTGTATCCATGTCCTAGAATAGTTTAGGCATTTTGCAAGAAAGAATATGTCAACAGAGAAAAAAGATCTTATGGAGTATAGGAAGGTTAAAAAAAAAAAAAAAAGAGAAAACTTGGAGAATTGTGAATATTTTGAGGACATAGGTGTCCTAACTCTAATGAGCTCCTATATTTGGAAAGGCTTTAAGAAAATCAGCAGTTATTCTGACTGAGTAACGGTTGGGTAGACTTTTCAACTGTCTACATTTACATATTATATATGTATGTGCAGTACATATTATGATGTAGAGGCGTAGAACACACTAGGAAGCAAAGACCACACTAGACAGTAATACACAGTTCCTTTGGCCCACTTATAAGCAGCAGGTGTTAAATAAGCTTGGAGGAATTATGTGAAATTCAACAAGTGCAGGTTAATATGAATAATAATTAAATATTGTCTTAAGACCAGCAACAGCCAATAGAATTAGTTTACTACAACATGTTGAATAATTACTCTTTATAGTATACTGTGTTAGATATTTGACATGTTGTTAGGGTTAAAATAGAAGGCAAACAGGTATTTTGATAAAGGAAGTCTAAGATTCAGCAAGGGACAAAATCAAGTCTTAGGATTTGTTCTCAAAGTGGTGCATGGCCAAAACATTATAAGTACAGAATTAAAAGAAAAAAAAAAAAACTAACAATGTAAGACAGGCATAAAATATGATATGTTTGGAATTTTACTTTAGATTATGCCTTGTCTTCTGTTTCTCTGTCTATTTGATTTGTTGATTGAAAGTTGTAAAGGTCGGAAAGCTTCCTGATCTGTTCCATTGTCTAACAGACAATCATTATACATAAAAGCTGCATCTTTTCCTTTAGAGTCACAGCATATTTTCTGTTGTTATGAATGCACATCCAGAAATTGAACTCTGTGTGTAAATATGCGCATCTCCCTCCGTCTTTCTCTTTCACACAAGTTGTAATACCTAGTACATAGCCTGTAACAGCCTCATTTCGTCTCTTGCTGATACCTTTTCCCTTGCCAAAGTAAAAACAGGAGGTAGAAGGTTTGGGCCATGGGTATCCGTGTTCTTGACGTCAACAGGAGAATTATGTTGCAGAATGGAAGGGAACATCAAAGTTGAAGTGTGATTGACCTTAATGCATCACATTTCCCCTGGAAATTCTTCCATATTTCAGAAACTAATTGACTTTCAGACTTAGTTATCAAAGGACATGCATTTTCTATTTTTGCTTTTCATAAAGAGGATGGGTCTAGAATTTATCTAGAGGTTGCTTTAAAGTATAAGCTGTAAGTTTTTTTTTTCCTTTAGTAGAATTGAAATGAACTTGACTATATAGAAATAAAAGAGCTGAGGGAAGATAAAAAGATGAAGATGGTGGAAATAGCAAGGTGACTGTGGAAAGATTAGACCTGAAAAATAACAAGGACATTATATAAGAGTTGAAAAATACAAAGATAGAGTCAAAATTAGAAAAAAAATTGCTTTTCTTGTTGCTCTTAATCTCAGTAAAATGGTAGTTAAGTTCCTCTATCTTGATCGAAAGGAAGGAGAAAGATTGATCTTGGAGGAAAAAGTCAAAATTGGTTCAGGATGAAATATTTCATTAAATCAACAGGTCAAAAACATGAAAGTTACAAAGTACGAATAGAGAGACAGATGAAATTCATCAGGAGTGATGGGGCTAGGTTCAGCTTGAGATGCTCATTAATCTTCTCTAGTAAATTAAAATATAGAATGGGGATGTGAGTTGGTGTGGTGCTGTGCATTAACAACATGGCAAATATAGGAAAGGCAACATATGGAAAAAAGAGTCTTTGATGATTGCCTGAGCATAACATTAATTCTATTTTTATGACTTCACTTTAATAAAAGCATGATAAAAGTGTTTCTGCTTAGCATTTTGAGAGAATAATAGTGTGGACACAATAACATATTTGAGTACATCTGACAGTGAATGATAATAAAAAGAAAAGCTTTAATTCTTTATATTTTTTATAGCTTCATAGTGCTAATTTCTCTTGAACATTCAATTATGATTGCCCATTTTCAGAACATTGCTAATTTCATTTATTTAGCTTCTGATGAATTACAACCATTAACAGCTTTGGTCATTTTTATTAAACTTTGAGAACATAAAATTCTCAGTACTTAATTTTCTCTGATTTCAAAGTGGAAATAACTATATATACTCTGTTAAAGCAGCTACACGTGAAATAGTAAAAGTTCCTTTTATGAATTTTTAGATTTTAATAAAGCTGAGGTTTCCAAAGGGAGCTTTATCTATATATACTCTAGAGAGCTGTCATAAGCAAAAACCTATGGAGACAATTTCAGTGAAAGAATTTAAGTAATTTTTGTAATTTCTGAGTGCATATGAGGAAACAAAATAGGATGCTGAAAATCTCATTTAATGATTGCTGACACCCATAGCGTTTTATGTTATGTAAAATATTTTAATCTGCACAATTTTGTTTAACTTTCTAGATTCTTAGAAGGTATGAAAGCAGCTCTTGTGAACCCACCTTAGTCATAATTTTATCCCGGCACATACTGACTGACAAAAGTCGAGACTGCATAGATGAATTCATTTCCTTTCATCCAGTTCGCAACAGTGCCTTTAGCTCGGTTCTGTTCCTTTTCTTCTGAGATGATTTCCCCAGGATGAATCACAATGCGTTCAGTATATATTACTCTGTCATAACACCCGATATTCCTGTTCTATTTTTTCAGGGCTATGCGATTCGAATAGTGATTTGCAAGCTCTGAAAACTGATGAAAAACAAAATGCATTCAATTTTTTTTTACCTTACATAATTCTAACTTGCCTCTCTCTCATCTCCTTAAGGAAAGAGCTATGCTGGAGCGAAGCAAGGGCCATTAATCACAGAAGCACAGTTCAGGCATAGACTTTTTTTTTTCTCTCTCTCTCTCTCTTTTACAGAGAACTTATTTAGGTCATCCCAACTGATCTCTTCTTATCATGAGAAATAGTGATTTTGCTGTGATAACTAATGGAATATTTCTTCTGCACTGTATTCTAAGCAGTGTCCCAGTTTTACACTATTCTTAGCAATTCACGCTTTCTAAAAGGTACTCTGCCAGTCCAAATGCAAACACTCCAGCTTGATGAGCCAGACCTGCAACACCACTTGTCCCACTCTGTTCCCAAAAACGTTTAGATAACTAATGTTTTGCCATTATGAGTTTATTTTATTTGAATCGAAATACACCTAGAACTTCCCTTCCAAAATTCCCAATGGTATTAAATACGTAGAAAAAGAAGAAAATGCAAAATGAATGTTTACATCAGATTTCCTTTAACTGAGCAATTAATTTTGCAATTGACATGATACTTTGTTCTCTGAAACAATTGTTTGGTGAACAGTATGAGAGGTACCTAAGCAAAAATATTTTTGAAAATCAGACCTGATTCCTAACACTGTTCAAAACTGACCTGTTTGTCTAAAATCAGAACAGCCAGTTTTCTCAAATACAGAAATAAACAGGAAAAAGCATTAGTGTGTATACCTGCAGAGTTGTGCTAAGAATTAAGTATAGCTAATATGCACAGAATATTTTTATAACAAAATGGAATAAAATGTTCACATTTCTACAGGCTAATAAATTTTTGGGGAGTACTAGATTTTGAACCCAGGGATTCCACATTGGGCTATATCACCAACAACTTTTTATTCTTTTTTGTATTTTGAGGCAGTCTTGCAAAGTTGTTAGGTTGCATGCCTGGGCTCAAACTTGTAATCCTCCTGCCTCAGCATTCCAGAGTACTGGGCTGACAAGTATAAAGGTACGCATTTAGCAAATTCATTCTTGCATTAGTTTTCAGTGCTGTATACCAAACAGTCCAATTTAGTGGTTTCAAATAAATCTCATTTATTATGTAAGGCTTTCTATAGATTAAAATATGGGTAGAACTCACCGAGGTTTTGGCTTAGGTCTCACAACCTGAATCAAAATGCTAGCTGGGTTACATCCCATCTGAGGGACTAACTAAAGGACTTGCTTCTAAACACTCAGGATTTTCTACAGAATTATCAACTACAGAATTCACAGCAACAGCTTCTTACAATCCAATCATGGAGAGAGAAAATTTCTGCTATTTTAACTTCCTAACTATAGGCAAAGACTACAGTCCCCTCAAAAAGGATCCTCTGATTAGTTCAGGCCTGCCCTGGACAATCTCACATTTGATTAACTCAAAGTGAATCAATTAGCACATTTTATTATCTGAAAATCCCTTTATTTTTACTGTAATCTGTTAGTAACCCATAGGTTCTGCCTATACTTAAGGAGAGGAAGTTATACAAGGACATGATTTTCTCGGCATCTTAGAATACTTTACCAAAACCCCTTGTAGTTAAAAAAAAAAAAGTTGTGTATTATACATAGAAGAAAGACCAGATCTGTGGAAATTACAATACAAGTTAAGAAAACTGAATGGGAGGATTTTGTAAACATTCCTTTACTTCTCTTAAGGTTGAATACATCACTGTCTGTTGGCATGTCACAGAAAGTGAAGGGGCACTAAGGCCTGCACTCTTTAGCCCACAAGTAGAAGCTTGAAAATAGCATCTCAAATCCTTATTTTGTTTTGCTGTTATAGTCAATCAGTATTACTTGAATACTTTCATGACCATTTTGCTTCACCAATATTCCCAAAGGCATGCCTCAGACCCATTAGTTGTCCTGAAATGCATTTTGTCCTTGTGTTTCTCTTTCCCAACTCATTGTTTCCCCCAGTGTAGCTCTTCCTTGATGACTGAACCCTGTATGGGTCAAAAGATGTGGCACATCCTTCTCAGACTGTGTTCCAGGACATAGCTATGGATGTATCCTTTGTCTGCACAGACAGTTCATCGAATCTCTTTCTCTGTCTCTGTCTCTCTGTCTATCTGCTTCACTCTCATTCTCAATCTCTTTCTCCTTTGTGATAATGGTGCCTAAAGTCTTGCCCTTTGCCCTGAGCTGCTTTCCAACCCTTTTGATTTAGAACTACTTCAGCATCTTGCTGAGTTGTGCAGACTGGGCTTGAACCTCTGAGAATTAGCATTATGAGTAGCTACTGTTCCTGACTTCTTATATTTTTAAAATACTTGATCTTAAATGTTTCTTTCATTGTTGTTTCTTTTATTACTTTGCATTTCTCCACTATGATATGCTTCTTATATTAAGATATTGACATTTTAAGTAAACCTTTAAAAATGGAAACAAGAAGTGACTGAAAGCCTGCTATGTGACTAGCGTCATTCTGATACATAGCTTTCCTGCGATTTGGTTTCAAGGAAATTATAATAGTGTAAAAATTCTGGGAGTTTACACAAAATAGCCAGATTACATACTATACATACTATAGCATGTATTATTAAGAGATTACTTACCCTAATTGAAATATGGAAAAAGTACAGTGGTAACATAGAGGAAGAAAATCACATAAGTGAATATTTTTCACTTTTGCTGAATATTAATTGCCAAATTTCAGCATCCTCTCAAAGAAACTAAAATATTACACTATGGGTGTCCAAATTTTGGTCTTACTGCACTGCACTGATGAAGAGGGACTTCTATGTAATAACTAGGTCTGTTTTCACAGGCATGCAGTCAGGTAGGTAGGTTGAAATACCATTATCAACAACCACTGCAACTTACTTGCCAAATTGTACAAGCTCGTGTGCTATCTGATACTTGCAGGTTTCAATGGACTATGCTTAGGGTGCAGCAGGCAGAGTTAGCCCTCCATGGCAATCATCCCTACACAGCATCACTTGTCACCTCCTGTAGTCCTCAGTCCAGGAGCGTACCATCCAGTCATGAAACGACTCATTAATGCATGTGGTTTAAACCATTCCTGCCACCACTACCGCTACCACCACCACAATAACAACAATAATAAAGATGTGTCTTGGTGACAGAAAGAAAAGGTTAAAACTTTCAATCTAGGGACACTAGATTTCAATACTAGCTGTCTCAGGGCCACGGGCAACTGGCTGGACAGGGTTGGGCAAGCTTGTACAGTTAAACAATGAAAAGGCTTTCCTATAGAGAAGTGGCAAAAGGAGGAGGTATTACAGATTTAAGAGGTATTTAAGATGTACAATCAAAATAAAATAATAAAGAGACCTCCTGCATACAAAAAAGCAAATACAGGAAAAGCTAGTACTGACTACAATATAATTATTGAAAGCATCACATTTTTTGATGTTTATTCTGTTTAAATTAAAAAAAAAACGGTCACTTGGAAGATAGCAGTAGTTGTTTAAAGCTGAGGGAGTAGATAGACCCTTCTGTGTGAGGAGGGCACGGACTGAAACTGTGCTGTGCAGTGGATCCTCTTGGTCACATGAGTTACACCCTAAAAGTTAGAGTGGTGCATTTTGAGTGCTTAGTAGTTATATGGTCAGTGGATACATACTGGAGGGAATTGAACATTTCTGTCATCACAGAAAGGTCTACTAAATAGTATTAAACCAGAAAATTAAAAATTAAAAATGTTAAAGAGCAACCTGGAATGGTCAGAAAGAGAGGAGGGGGATACACTCTTTTGAGTTTTTTTTTTTTTTTTTTTTTTTTTTTTGTAGAAAATCTGAGGAAAAGTAATATATGTTTCAAATGTTAATCATTCATATTTCTCAAAGATACAAAATTTTATATTCTCAGGATAGGTATAGAGCCCTAGCTAACTTTTGGGGAGAATTAAATTAATTTGAGTTTTACAATATATTTAGACTTGCTAGAATACTGGGAGTGTGCAATTATGTTAAGGAATACTTAAACATGTACTTAGCAGGGCAGACATAATAAAATAGAGATCAGTCTCATTTGACAAAGATTATTTATGCTCTGCATATGAGAACTATGCAGCAACCTGTTTTCTCATTGTCAAGAAGAAACCTAAAAGAATTCATGACCTCTTTTGATTAAACCATCTATTATATCCACTTAAAGAAATAAAACAAACAGAATATCTTTAGGGTTACTGATCAGCCATTCCTCCTTTTTGTTATTCTTTTGTGTATCTTAATTTTTTAATATAATCAGTGTGTATGCAGCCTCAAGATTCTTACCTCGAAATTAAACAGCTATACTCATCTTGTTTTCTTTCTCTAGCAAGCCACTAAACATTATTGGGAGGACTACTAATCATTTTCATATTTTCAGTTCCAAAGACAGAGATAATATTGCTTAATTTCTAGTATTAGATGCAATCATCAGCTACGAGTTTTTAAAAGCACCTCTGATCGTTTCCATGGTACCACAGTCACATACTTGATTTTTCCTCTCCCTCATTAGCTACTCTCTTTTTTGTGTGATTTTCTGTATCATTATATCCTTCCTTTAACTGAGCTCTAAGTGTGGCAATCATGTAGCTCTGAACTTTCTCTTTTGTCTGTACTATTTCCCATAGACTAAAACATGAAACATATCTTGCAATTTTACTTATATCTCCATTTAACACTTGTTTATCTTTGTACGCCAAAGATCTATGCCTAACTTCATTCTTTATGTTTTCAACTGAAAAGAATTTCAATTAATATCCGTTAAAAGACACAGTGCATGCAATGATAATGTTTACTTTATTTTCTTACCTAACATCAATTCCTGGATGTTTACTCCACAAACATTAAACAGTGTTTCACATCTTAGATTCCAGAACACTTTTTCAGGCAATATTATTTAGAAATTCACAAAAGAGCCTTTGATATATTTTTCCCCCTCCAGCCTCACATGAAATCCAACATCAGCTCTACATTCCCAGTGTTTCCAAGTGACTTCTACTTCTACACGCCCTCATTCTTCCCAGTGGGATTGCTCCAGGCCTTTATTAAATAATCTTCTATTCACGAGTGCCTACTTTTTGTTTGATGTCACTGCTCTGAGCACACTCCTAAGTAGAAT